TATAAGAGCATGTCATCTATGAACAAGGCTAATTTGACTTTGAGGTCTTCAATTTGGATGCCCTTTGTTTATTTTTCCTTGCCTAATTGCTCTAGGCAGGACTTTGAGTAGTATGTTGAATGAAAATGGTGAAAATGGGCTTCCTTATCTTACTTCATACGGATGAATGGATAAAGAAAATGTGGTACATGTACACAATGGAATTAATATTCAGCCATAAAAAGAATGAAATTCTGTCATTTGTAGTAGCATGGATGGAGTGGAAGGTCAGTATGTTAAATGAAATATGTGAGGCACAGATAGACAAATACCACATGTTTTTATTCATATACAGTATGTAGAAGCCAAAAAAGTAGATCTCATCAAGACAAAGGACAGATTGTTGGTTACCAGAGACTCAGGAGGGTAGGGGAAAGAGGAGGCTATAGTTTATAATAATCAGTTGTATAGTTTAAAATAGCTAGAAGAAAATAATTCGAATGTTTCTAGCATAAAGAAAAGACAAATATAAAAAAGGTGACGGATATCCCAGTTACACTGATTTGATCTTTACAAATTATATGACTGTGTTAATAAATTATCCTGAAAATATGTACATCTATTGTGGGTCAATAAAAATAAATTAATTAACTTTTAAAAATGACAAGTATTGATTAGGATTTGGAGAAATTGGAGCCCTTGTACTCTGTTGGTAGGATTGTAAAATGGTGCAGCCACTATGGAAAATAGTATTGATATTCCTCAAAAAATTAAAAATAGAACCACCATATGATCCAGCATCCCACTTCTGAGTTATATGCAAAAGAATTGAAAGCAGGATCTAAAAGAGATATTGCATACCCATGTTTATAGCAGTGTTATTCACAATAGTCAAAAAGTAGAAGCAACCGAAATGTTCATCATTGATTGAATAGGTACATAAAATGTACATAAAATTGAATATTATGAACCTTAAAAAGGAAGAAATCCTGTCACATATTATAGCATAGATGAATCTTGAGGACATTATGCTAAGTGAAATAAGCGCATCACAAAAAGACAAATATTTACCATATGATTCCACTTATATGAGATATCTAAAGCAGTCAAATTCATAGAAAATAAGATGGTGGTTGCTAAGTGCTGGGGGGAAGGAAGGAAGCAAAGTTATTATTTTTGTTTATTTGTTTGTTTATTTGTCTGTCGCCCTGGGTAGAGTGCATTGGTGTCGTCATCTCACAGCAACTTCAAATTCCTGAGCTCAAGAGATCCTCCTGCCTCAGCCTCCTGAGTAGCTGGGACTATAAGCTCACGCCACTAAGCCTGGCTAGTTTGTTCTGTTTTTAGTAGAGATGAGGTCTTGCTCTTGCTCAAGGTGGTGTCAAACTCCTAAGCTCAAGCAGTTCACCCACCTCAGCCTCCCAGAGTGCTAGGATTACAGCCATGAGCCACTGTGCCCAGCCTTGGAGTTGTTTAAACAGAGGTTCCCTAGCAGACACTTTGCCTGTGAGTTCCCAGCTAGGGAACTCTCTCTCTATCTTTATATAGAGAGTCCTGTACTCTCAGTATAGGCTTTTTCATCTGATTTCTCTTAAAATAATTTCTCCTTACTATAAATTGGCTATTTTTTTCCTTCTTCTTAAAAAGTGAAGTACCAGATAGACACAGAAATGTATCCAACTCCAACTGAATTCTCACATAGTTGAGTGAATTTTCACAAATTGAGTACACCCATGTAAACATCACCCCCATTAAGAAATATTAATACAGGGTGGCGCCTGTGGCTCAAAGGGGTAGGGCGCCAGCCCCCTAGGCCAGAGGTGGCGGGTTCAGACCCAGCCCTGGCCAAAAACTGCAAAAGAAAGAAAGAAAGAAA